GCAATCCCCACGACAGGAACACAATGAGATGTTCTGAAAGCAATCAATGGTCGCAGCTTCTTCTCATCGCCGTGACGCTCGATCCGAGGGCTAGCCTTGGCAACTTACCTGTGCACTGACCGCAGCTTACACACGCTGTAAAACGCCCCCCGCGATCCCCACGACAGGAACACAATGAGATGTTCTCAAAGCAATCAATGGTCGCAGCTTCTACTCATCGCCGTGACGCTCAATCCGAGGGCTAGCCTTGGCAACTTACCGCCCCGGCGCAGTGCAGGACCAACATAGTTCCGCACGCGCGCTCGACCAGGCCACACATTAGTCCGCTCCTTGACGTGCACCTGATACATCCGATGTAGTTGCCTTCCGTGAACGCTCGAAAAATGAAACTGATCATCAAATAGCTCTCATAGCTGCCCAGTCAACCTTAGTTCGCAAGAACCATGGACAAGAGAGCCATATGCCCGCCGTTGACGCCCTAGGGCAGCCTCCCCAGGGCGGGGAGGCTAGGCCTCTCAGTGTCCATATAGGGGGGTAGAAGGGAAGAGAGAAAGAGGAGTACATTATTTCCAGACGTCAACAGGGGTCTCCTGGATGGAGCAACAAGGGGTACCATCAACGTCTCCTGTCCCATGGCATGTTCGAACCCCCAGCAGAGCCCGGTCCACTTGCACACCCCAACGATATATATTTAACATGGCGGTCCGGCTTGAGATTCCACCGCATTCCTAGGTCCAAATTTATCCGCCAGAGCATACTTCAAACACGCTCAAAGGCACCAACGCGCAAACGCTGCACGAGATGACCGATCGCTCACCTCGGGCCACATGGTATCTAGCATCTGCCCTGCGATGATCTTTGCCTTCCGAAAATTGAAAGACGTCACGGTGATAACCTCGCTTAATCCCCGACCTGAAAACGGAGAAATCTAGTCTCGCTAGGGCACCTTGAAGAAGTTGTTGAAGATGCCGCCTACGGCCGTGACGCTTCTCCTGAACGCCAAACTTGGCAGGTTACCACCCCCGCGCAATGTAGAGCCAACTTAGCCCGCACGCGCGTTCCGCAAGTTAACAAATACGCTTCCGGAGCCCCATTCTTCACGTGTACCTCAGTTGTAGTTGCCTCGGCCACTTGAACACTAGAAAATGTTTTAAGACCAACAAAGCAGCTCCCAGCTGGGTCTAGTCAGCCTGAATTCTTAAGAACCATGGACCGAGAGTTATATGCCCCCAGTTTATCCCCCAAGCACGGCCGCCCCGGGGTGTATGGCGGGAAGCCGTACCACCAAGGCCCCAAGGAAAGGGCAGGAGGGTAGAGAGGAACTAACAAGCACTACGTTCGGAAGTGAGCAGAAACCCTCCGGATGGGACAACGCGGGGTACCATCAACATTTCCGGTACTCTCGTCCAAGCCTCCACAGAGACCGGTCTACAGGTGTCTACTCAGAACCTTCTACACTTGTTACCGGCCAACAGACGTCCATATTATTTTTTCATCGACTGTCCAGTAAAACACAAATTCTAGATTTCGCGCGGGGATGCCATCTTACTTTATTGCCCCTATCCTAAAATCTTGGCAAAAGACGACAGATCATCTTGGATCAGGTGCGGACCCGTACTTCCGCAATCAGTCTTAGGTCTCACAATTAGAAAGCTAGGAGTCTCTCTCGATGTTCTTGGCCTACAAGGGCGGCGTTCGAAGAAAACGAAAGTGCCCCGCCCGATCCAGAAAACGCTCAACCGCGGTCGATTTATCTAGCAAACATCAACAGCCTACCCCTTTTCAAGGTTGCCCGACTTCCCGAGCCGAATTAATAGTTAACTCGCTAGGTTCCAGTACTTGTAAGGCCCCCCAAATTTGAAGGATGCCGGGGGATATCGCAGGATCTCTGAAAAATCCAAACGCCTGCATACCTCACTTTCCTAATTTCCAACTCCAGTACAAAACTACAATCCCAAACAACCGTCCCCAACGGTCGCTTGTGTACGATGTTAGGGTCGGAGATTGCAGCCAGTGTCATATGATACACTTCAGAGTAGCGGTCCGCGATCATCGAGATCGGTGTGCGACAAGCAGGATTTTGGGAGATGCTGTGCCGTCCGATTGTGAAACGCTTCAAGCACCACCTCTTATGGCTAGACCTTCGTGTGATTGACCCCGGGCAATAAAATCGACTATCACGAGAGTAGGACACGTGAAGCAAAGCAGCAGTCCTCGTCGAGATTCCGCCGCATTAGCCGGGTGCAATTGTTTCACCAGAGCGCAACACCGCAAGATGGCGCGCACTCCCAAATGGCAACTTGCACCGTCCCAATGATGACCTTGCTCAAACCCCCGCGCGACAGCGAAGCTTCGCCTGAACATGGAGAGATCCCTCGGTGCAACGCAGAACCAACACAACTCCGATCGCGAGCTCGGCGAGGCCACAGATAAGTCTCCGAAGTCCGCTCCTCGACGTGTACATCCGATGTATAGTTTCCTCTGCCGCTTGAACGCTCGAAGAATTTGTAGATTAACAAACAGCTCACGGCTGCCCAGTCAACCTGAATTCTTGAGAGGTATATATAGATAAGAGACCCATACGCCCTCGGTTGATCCCCCAGGGTAGCCTCCCGCGGGAATGAGGGTGGAGACTAGGCCATTAAGTCCCCATAGCGGGCGGTAGAAGGAAAGACAAGAAGCAGAGTATTAATATATGCAGACATCAACAGAGGCAGGCCCCCGGCTGGCACAACAAGGGGTACCATCAACATCTCATATTACATATCTGGGCCCCTAGCAGAGCCCAACGAGGGGTATATACACCAGCGCTGGCGAGATTCTTGCACGCTCCAGTAGCTCAGTACAGCGACCTAGGCCTACCCACTGCACAACAACCTATTTTGGGGTGTTGGGTTAGGGTTGGGGTTAGGTTTAGGGTTAGGGGTGGGTTAGGCCTAGTGAGGCCTAGCGCCTTGGTGCTGCCTGAGGGCTGCAACCCTGCTGTGGCTTTGGTTTCATGTCTACCTCCAATCACACCACACATATTTNCCAACGAGGGGTATATACACCAGCGCTGGCGAGATTCTTGCACGCTCCAGTAGCTCAGTACAGCGACCTAGGCCTACCCACTGCACAACAACCTATTTTGGGGTGTTGGGTTAGGGTTGGGGTTAGGTTTAGGGTTAGGGGTGGGTTAGGCCTAGTGAGGCCTAGCGCCTTGGTGCTGCCTGAGGGCTGCAACCCTGCTGTGGCTTTGGTTTCATGTCTACCTCCAATCACACCACACATATTTTTGAACTGGCGAGTGCAAGAATCTCGCCAGCGCTGGCGTATATACCCCTTTTGAGCAGAGCCCTGTCCACTGAGGGAAGAGCTACGCTGAAGTTCGAGGCCCCACACACTCACATAGGCACTGATTCGCCGGTGCCGTGTGCTGGATGGAGGAAGCGTTTCCACATCGGACCGCACAGCAGCTCTCAAAATCCTGCCTGTTGCACACCGATCTCGATGATTGAAGTATCTTTTGGAAAATCGCGGACCGCTAATCTGCAGTGTAGCACAAGGGCTACAATCTCCGACACTAACATTGTACATAAGCGACAACTGCGGACGGTTAAGTTGCAATCGTAGTTTGGTACTGGAGTTGGACTTCGGAAAACTGAGATACGCATGCGTTTCCTAGATTTTTCAGGAAAAGTCCTGCTATCCCCCCCCTACGCGCTTAAAAGCTGCAAAGTTATTTTATTGCAATTGCCGCGTTTTGGCAATCCATTCTTCTCTATGCTTTAGCCGCAGCGATTTACCTCATTTGCGGGTTGTTTCGTGGCGCACCCGTGCTTGGTGATTCTCGCATGTTAAATCCCTGTGATTCTTTTCTGCCATCTTCTTAACAAGTAGGGGGCGACGCACGGATGGAAAAAAGAAAGGCCTCGACCACCTCTTTTCGGCATTGATTGGTAGTACCCGCCTGTCACCCATCAACAATCGAAAAAAATTGTACCTCCTGCGGGTCGCGGAGGGAGGCAGACAACAGGTTCGTATTGGCCACATTTATCCGCCACAGGAGGTGGAAGATGCTCAAACTAGGGGTGAGGTCATGATTTGCCATACCATGCTTGAGACGCCACGAGATTTGCATGGAGATCGAGATTTTACACTGACTGATTGCCTCTTCTAACCCAGCAAGAAACACAAAAAACATACTTCGATGTAATATTTTTTGTAGCGAACCGGATGGCGACAGAAAGTCTCGTCTTGTCTGCCACAGGAGGCGGAAGCGGGTCAAAGCTGGTGGGGTCACCATGATTTACGATTCCCTACCGAACCATACTCGGGGCGCCGCGAGGTTTGTACTGTAGCTTGAGATCAGCATTTTAGAGGGGGTCGAGCAAAGGCTGGGGGATACGAATGAACGTTTAAGTTCCCACTAGGTATTGGCCCGAGAAGCTGTAGAAAAAGTGAGTGAGGCACCTGTTTTGGAAAGGGACGTTTTTCCTCAACTTCGGCCGTGTGGCGATCCAAAATTTGGCCAAGCCTCAAAAGAAACCTTAGCCAACTCCATAGCTTGATACCATCAAAATTGGGCGAGATTGTTTTCTGAAGGTGTGTTGGAGCGCTGAAGGTCAACATTGGATGTAAGTAAATACACACGGCGTGCTTGTTCGTTCTAGGGGAAAAGTTTTTCACTGGAACGACCTTCGTTCGTAGTGGCGATCCAAAACTGCGTCGCCACCCCTCACTGCTACACTTTCGCCACTGTCTCGAGCAAGTTCGCCAACTCCTTCAGAGCAGCGTGAAATTTGGTTCTGAGCCTTGCAAAACGGGCGTGTGAATCAACAAGTCTTTCGCTTTTCATACCACGGTGTTTGACCAAGTGACAGCGAAAACAGGGCGTATTATGTCTGCGGGTGTAGAACTTAACATAACTCCGCTCGTTTCCTACTGGTAGCACATTGTCGTCTGTGAGGAGAGCACCAGCGGCAACAAGGGTGTTAGCTGGTGCCACAAAGACAAAAATCACCGGGGCGCACGCAGGGTTAACTACCTTGGATTTTCGCGGAGTCCCTTTGGGGCATATTATTTTTGTTCTGTTTTGAAACTTGCATCCAAGCCGCATCCGGTCGGGTAAAATAGCCATCACCGAGCAAGGGGGTGGTGAATCGACCAGCCCCTCGAGGCCAAAGGGGAACACCTGTGGTCCCAGGGACCCTACCTGATTTCAAGCGTGTCTACATGCTCGTAAGAGGGGCCTTCGAGCTACACGATCGTCATCTCAATAACGACAAGTTCTGATTCAGAGCCAAAAGCTGGCCCAGACATTATTTTCCCTCATGTTGTCCGTATAAACATCCAATACATTTCGGTATACAAACGTGTCCAAGATTGTGGCAGGCTTGGCGACCTAAACACATGTTCATGCCACCAACGTTTTCCTCCTGGCAGTCCCTAAAACATCAACGAAATCAGGGCGAACGTGGGGATTTTGACGCTGTCGCTCTCAGAATTGGCTGTTCATAAACTGGAGAAGATGCTTCCGGCCCGCTGCACGTGCGTGATCTTCAGTTGTCTGATTTTCGAGCTTCATTCTGATTTTCTTCCCCGTGATCGCACTCCGCCGCACGCCAGGTTCGTCGTCCGAAGTGTCTGAATCGCTGTTACTATCCGGCTGCAAGGTAATTCAGTCAGGCGAACAGAGCATCGGGTGCACAAATTGATGTTCATATATTATGGACCGCGGCCAGAAATCAGCAAGTGGCGGGATGAAAACATGTCTCAAACGATAAGCTCCCCACTTGTATCGGGTCCAATACCAACGAAACTCTGGTAAATCACCGGAGTGGGTAAATCACTGGATTGTTTTCTGCGTTCGAACAAGACATCCAACACACGACTTGGTGCAAAACAAAAAAACGTACGCCGCGTTGCTGTCACACCTTGTCGTGCTTGTCTCTTTTGGCACGTTTTTCTCGCTTCTTCTTCTTTTTCTTTTCTCGTTTTCTTGATTTGTCTTGGCGGTCTTCTTCCGCTCTTCCTTTATCCTTTCTCAACACTTCCGAACTTTTCTTCCTCTTTTTCTTCTTCCGCTTTCTCCGCTCACTGGATTCGCTTCGATCGCGGCGCCTGCTCCTACTACTACTTTCATTTTCAGAAGACGAACTGCTCGTTCCGCTTGAGCGAACCTGATCAGGGCGGCCTGGTACACAGACACGACCGAAGATGCGGCAGATGTAAACACGATGGTGTGATTATCAAGTATATGCGTTTCGATCCTGCACTGGACAGGTAATGGAGAAAAAGCAGAAAGTTGACTTAGGGAAAGGTTGGGTGTTACGGAGATCGAACTTGAAACAGCAAACTATGTAACCAGATAAATCCATCTCCCCGGTTGTTCGTTCATGTGGTGACCTTGCAACCTCTGGTGATTGGACTTGAGTTTAAAACCAGGCGCATTCACCACGAGATGTACTGTTTCTGACGTCATGCCGAAAAGGTGGAAAACAATCATATTGTATGTACCAACGCAATAACCGGTTCCACTATCTTAGAGAAGAAAGAGACAACTAGATCCTTTTCCAGACAAAGCAAGCACCTTATTTGCTTCTTCCATCGCACGTTCCCCTGGAGTTTTACTCTGGATTTCTGTTAACATTGCCTGGTATGTCTGTTTAGTATGCTTGCATGTAGATGCCTTCGATGGTATATTGTTTGTCTGCGTACGGGGGGGGTCAGCCTGATCGACGAGAAGTTGGTGAGGAATATTCCGGCAATAGTAGGGATCGGGGGGGAACCTAGTTGATTTGGAATGAATAGAAAATATAGAGCAAGTTGTATGTGGAGGCAAGGGCATGACCCGCGGAACTTGACGGTACATACTCCCTGTACAGGTCGGGTGCGGTTGTTTCTTCATTTCACATATTCTGGACATTGAAGTTTACGTTATCCATGATAGCGCGGGCGTAGCCCCGGCCTCGTCCGGAGCCTGAGCCCTTGTGTCCCCCACCCCCGCCGCGAGAGAGCGAGGAACGGAGAGAAAACAACAAGAACTGACGTGCGATGCAAGTCCAAGAAACAGACAGGCTGTCATATGTTCGGCAATACAATGAATGGTAGACAGCAGGGGCATGCGTCGGCTAGAGAAGTGTTGCATGAGTACAACAGAGTTGCGATTTCGGCGCACAGAGGCTGAGCTTCCAACGCCATACGATGTCCGAATTGGGAAGTAGAGAGGGGTTTTCGTTCCAAAAATATATGGTGAAAGCAGCATGACAATTTATTGCGTGTTACACGACAGGTCGTAGGAACAATTTCGAGGCGTCGGCGGAAGAAAACGCATGGTTTTGGAGACAGCGTAGAAACACGACCAATCTAATACCAAAAGAGCGTGACTGGTAAAAACAGGGGAACAAAGCGATCAAAGTCGTTTGCTCGTCTTTTGGTAGTTGAAACAGACATCAATCAATTCAAGGACTTGAGAAGCTTGGGTGCGTTCCTGGAAGCGTCAGCCAGGGCCATAAAAAAGTATTTACTCAAGTATATATTTTCCGCGTTCCTTTTGCAGTGCATGCTTTATATGCGAGCAATATTCGCCCGTTGCTTATACGCAACGTGTACAGTGTAGTGAGAGAAATCCCGGTTTCTGTGACAGCGTCGAGATTCCAGCCAGCCTGAAATGAATCTTAAGGCAGGGATTAACCCGAGGTCCACACGTCAGGAAGTTGCGAGGGTACCAACCGCACCATTGGGACTACCAGCCGTGTGGTACAAGAAGTGATGCGATTTATGTGCTCTTGGTTGGTGATCTTCAATCTTCGTGCTCGTTCTATTTTGGATGCCTCGCGTTTCGGTTTGAAGTTACAATATGAGCCCTTTCGAATTATTTCTTCTGTAAAAAATGTCGCCTGCGACGTCTTACGTTCTGCCGAATAACATATTCTGACGCATTATGTTGATTTAGTTGCATCTATGTAACTCTCTTGATTTTATTGTTATGATCCTCTTGCGCGGAGTTAGATAGCTTACACATGTGTCAGCAGGACCTACCGTTAGGGTTGTAGGGTTGTAAGGAGGTACTCAAACAAGAGATCGGAACGGATAAGAAACAACAGCAAGCACTGCAGAAGGAAGATGGAGAAGAAAAAATAAGCTTTGCGGGCTTCCTCGTGTGCAACCCCGGCTGGTGCGTCCAGACATGCTCGAAGGACGGAGTTATAACTGAAGGTGCAGGATAAATCGGACGACAACACACACCACAGCACCAACCTCACAGTAACATAAGTCTACTATAGATAGGGCGGGGTAATGAGCCGCAGGGTAGCGACTCAATACCTCGCAGTAGTCTTTTCTGCGATGCTGATGGTGCACGATTGACGAGACACAGCAGCGTGAACCGTTTGTGGTGCAGCTACGCCGTGCACTAGAGGGACGAAGAACCAAAATATGAAGTCTTCCCGCTGTGCGGAGGCAGACATGCACATATGCAAGAGGCACGCATGCGGCATGTACACACTAGGCGCAAGAGCAGCAGCAGCGTAGACAGACATGGGATGGTGACAGACAGATGCGTGACAGACAGATGCCCACCACCTTACGCCTCGATCGAGCCTCCGAATTTCCTGCCAAGTGAAAGCAAGCAGCTGCGCACAGTTGATCGGCCTGCTGTTATGCTGGCAGTCGGTTGGACCCATTCAACTCAATTAACACCGCGGCCAGGTTACACATGGCGCCTGACTACCCACGGCGCGCAGGTCGTGTAGGCTCGGCCTCTCGCGGTTTTCAAAGCTGGTCTCGGATGATGAGCCTCCCAGCGGCGATGCGTTTGTTGGTGGTGTTGTTGCGTCTCTGTCTCTGTTTCTTCTCCTGTGGTTTCAATCGCGCGCGCGCGCGATCGCCGTTTGTGTGTTCCCCTCTTCGCGGAATCCCAAGGGGATGGGGTGACCGATCTCCTACGAAATTTGGGCACATGTCTGTGAAGCACGGCCATCTGTTGCCGAAGCACAAACCAAACCGGTGTGTCGAAGAGCGTGCTGTTTTTCTTCCTCAAAAGCGAACAGATCGTCAATCGGTGCCCTATAGATCTCGTTCTGGTTCCAGAGGTGGGATTTTTATCGGCTTTCCGGAAACCAAGTTTGGGGCCCCTGCTTACACGCGGCGGAATAGGCCGATATATTGAGCCTATTTGTCCCTCCTGGGCATGAAGGGAAGAAAGGTCGCGCTTCGCGGTCCGCGGCTCATTTTTAACCTCACAAAAGCACTGCACACACGGGCATTGGGGCCTGGTCGGTTAAGGAGTTCTTGCCAACAATAGGTATTCAGTTTCTATTCAAATTCCGAAATAATAGGTCAAGAGCTCGACAACAACCTTCGCTGGCGTGACGTGTCCCGACCTCAGCACATTCCAGTACAGGACATCATGGAGCCGCGAAAGTCCGCAAACTTGCGTCTAAACCATAACCATTCACGATCCCCTGCTTATGCGCCGTCCCAGACTAAACCCCTCGCTGAGGGTTTAGGGCAGTATTCACCGCTCACACCACTAGCTGTCTTGGGAAGACCAGCACTTTACGGAAATTAGTCTGTGACGGCGCGTACAGCAGTGGATCGTGAACGGTTTGGACAGAGATACATATGCGGACTGTTCGGGCTGCAGCTGCCACCTTCGATAGCACGGCCCCAGCAACACGTACGGTCGTGCCAACGGGATGCCGCTGCGCCATGATGTCCTCTATTGGAATATGTACCCAGGTCGGGACTCCGCAAATCAATGAAGTTTTTTAAGCACTCGCCGTGTCACGTGTGTCGTCTTCAGCAGAAGACTGTTGGAAAAAATGTCTGGGTTTGAGTGTGTGGAGGTAGACTACGTTATACCTGGAATGTTGCGGGAGACAAGCCCCACCCGCTGCCCTGTATGACAACTCAAGCATTTTTTGTTGCCAAACACTGCTGACTTGGTTTGAACTGTCTCGTGTGTGATTGCTGGGTGCTTCCTCGGTTTGTTTAGTATCTACTTGGAAGTAGATTATACGAAGTGGTACAGCAGTCAATATCGAGATCGGTTGGCGAGAACGTCACAGAAACTACCGTTTTTGGAGCAGGTTCGAACTTTCTCTTTGTTTCCGTGTTTCTGAACTACTCGTGAACTACTTCACGAGACCTCTTTCTCACCTGTAGCCATCTACATCGCTAGATACATCACACACCCCGAAGGAACATTTAAAGCTCGATTGCTCCGCAACGAAGAGCGTGAACAAACCAAGCGATGCATGCGTTTTCGGTCATCTCTCGACAAGGCACATTCAACGCCGCCATTTTCGGCACCACCACTCTTCCCGATACATCAGGTATTCTATTGAAGCTTTGAAAATCAGCTCGAGGGGTGCGACATCGTATGCCACCTGCGGTAGGATACTGAATAGGAGTGATGTTACGCATACGCAGTGGTGGTCCCGAGAGACTGCGATGAAGTGACAAGCACACCGCGGTATATCGGGACACCGCAATATTGCGTGTTCGGGAGTATATAGCTTTTAGTACGGCAGCCAAATCTCGTGAAAAGCGACTATTAGGGCCTGTTTCATCGTTAAAATTGTACTTTCTACATTGAGGCCCTCAAAAAATAAGTTTCGGAGGGGTGCCGGGGGCCAAAGACGCTGATTGTTCAACAGGAAAAAACACGATGAGGTTTCTCTGCCCGGAAAAGCGGGACTTCGATATTGGGTGCAGAAAAAAACTACAACTTGAGTTGTTTTCTGCTGAATCGAAGAACCCGAGTTGCACGGCGCCCCTTTTTGAACCACCCGTGATGAGCAGAACTCGTCCTGGCGATACCCCTGACGGGACTGCATGTGGCGCACTGGCCGTGCGGCACCCACACACATCGCCCACTGCCCGCGCTGGGAAATAGCTGTTTTGCAATGATTCTGTGATCGTGCCAACTTTTCGCGCTGGTTGGGTTGCTGTGGAGGTTGCTTTCCAATACGTGCGATGTCAAGAGTCAACGGCCGGTTGTGTGCAGCGCGACAGTAGTCCAAACAACAGCTTCAGAGAAAGCCTGAGGATGAGGCTTGGACCGCTGGCACCGCCTGCTGATGCTCAGCTTCGTGTGTCTGCTGATATATAAATTACAGCTTTAACAGCCCCCGTGTGGTGCACATGGTCTATCGCTCTACCTGAGTTGGGTCACCACGTCACCTCGCTGCAGCGATTCCGCCGCATTTGGGTGTTGCTGAACTTCGATGTGGCAAAATTGCGTACAAAAACGACGCAAGCCCTTGGCCGAAAACACAATTATGTCCATCCAATTTGGGTCCTCAATTTAGGTGCAACTTTTAAACGTTAAAACAAGCCCTTACCGCGGTGTATCGGACCACCACCGTACGAAAAAATTCCATTGCTCGTACTTCGAAGCACATGTCAAAAGTGCGGCATGCGTACTGCTGTACGCAGTTGCAGTTATCGTTCAGGGACGCCAAAGGAGCAGAACCTCGCATTGGCGTACACCATCACACCCTGGGTCATAGTGACCTGTCCTCCGAACATAACCGCGTCATTTGAAAGATTATTTGTGTTCTACTTGAGAGCAGCTCCGGAAGTACCGAAGAAAACGAGTGCGGTGCTCAGCAATGGTACTTGTTGTTTTAAGTATCTCGAACGGGTAGGCTCGTGTCGGTCTAAAACAAGAGTGTTCTCTAGCGATACCTTTTCTCCCGCTGGATCGATTTCTTGATTTGCTCTCCCTCCGAGAATCTTCGTTGGTCCCACCCCAAGACCTCTTACTGCGATGGTCGTCGTCGGAGCTCATGCCACGGGTGATGAGCAGTTGTGCATGGAACCCCACAGCTGCAATGGTGACTGAGTGGGCTGCCGCAATAAAAATTGGGGGCAAAGAGAAATGGACTAATGGATGCACCCCGGCGGGCACTGGACTGTGAGAAAAAAACAAAAAAAATCACCCATCCACTGAACTCTGAACACATTCAAAGAAAGGTCGCGGTGCTCAGCAGCAGTGTTAGTGTGCAAGACACAAACACACATATCGACACACACCATGCCGATGAGCCCGGAAGATGCCGGTGTTGAGATCCAGAGATTCGTCACGGGGCTCAATGCATCGAAGCATAGTGCACGAGAGAAAGCTCTCAAGGCTTTTAGAGCTTTCGTGGAAAAGCAGGGCATGGAATTCTACGACGATGATGTCGACTCCTTACTCCTTGGGGACGGGTACACGATGGGCCTGATGCAATGGTGCGGTGAGAGCTCCACTGGCACGCAAGGGGCATTGAAAAGGTGGGTTCTGCAGTCAGTATGGCCTCTGATCGTACTGAAATGATGTAGAACACGAGCAAAGCCATGGACAGCGTGTGCAAAGAGTGCTAGACTTGTGTGTGCGTTTTACTTGCTCGTCAAGATGCGTGATTCGTCCTTCCGCCTTCCCGACGGCCGACGGCGTCTGTCTCTCTCTTCAGGACAGCAGCGACGGCAATTTCACTGCTCAAGTGGCTGGTGTCCTTGCGGGACCCATCTGGAGACGAGAATATATTCCTTGCAAGATTTCTGCAGGTGATGGATGCACACACCCTGCCTTATCCCGAAACCCTGATTTTGTTCTGCGCCGATCTTACCCGCAGACTCATCTTCCATCGGAATACATAGTGTTAATAGTAGACATTGCCCGTTCACTTCTAAACCGTTTTTACGTGCCCACAAAGCCGCTTTCAAAAAGCGCAGGGTATGGAGAAACGAGAGCAAAAATGCAACAACAGTATCGAAAAATATGTACAACAGTCTAGACTACAGCAGGAAAAGTTCAGGCAAGCTTGGATAGCACACACGGCGCATGGCGCTTAGTTGCCGTACGTGCGACCCTATCCCGCGGCGCACAAGGGTAGAGGGCTAGGTAACACCTGAAGTGTAGGCCTACGCCGCTGCACAGGAGCGGGAAAAACTACATGTAGGTTGCTGCCCGAGCCTTCGCAAGGAATGTTCCGAGAAATCGTATTTCGGAGACAACTCGCGACCAAGGTTAAGTAATACCCCGACGAGACGTTTCACCCTGGCCGGGAGCAATTTCTTTCTTTGTGGTACACAGATTCGCCCCTCCCTACCTTTGAGATCTCCCCACGGCAAACTTATGCGCACCACCATTTTATGGTGGCACCCCTACCGCGTTCTCAAAGGAAGAATTACCTCTGAAGCTGCTCATGCTACAAGAGGCAACCTTCTGAATTGCTTGTGAAGATGCTTGCTTGCTGTTTCTTCTCCCCTCTCAAAAGAAGTACATTGGGAGCCCGTGACTTGTGACCTGGCTTCTTCGAAAATTGCAAGGTTGAAGTCTATCTGCTCTGAACTGAATGATTGCGAGGAGTTGTGACAGATTGTGGTAGAAAATACCTAAACTTTAGTCAAAGACAAGAGACGTGGCGTAGACTGGACATGTGATGGAAGCACGATGAACGAAGACCAGAGCATCCTTTGCGGCGGGTCCGCGCTGCTCAACGCACTCCTTTCCGCCCTCCTCTTGTGGTATGGCGGATGCACCAAGGTGGCATTGGAAGATTTGCGGAAAATGAGGCTCGAGCTCCATTTGCTCATTACGGGGACTCAAAAGGGCAGCAAGGCATCTTCTCGAGGAGGCAATAGTGAGGAGGCGTGCGAAATCGTCAGCCTGGTTTTGCAGCGCCATCGTGATGACTTGGGTGAGGCGGAGGAAATCTCTGTGGAGGAGCTCCTTCCTGGTGAAGAGGCCAGAAAGGTAGGTAATATCCCCATGATGACACAACAATCGCATTAGCAGTCAGTTTGACGATGTGTTGGACTCATGCAAGTCAATGTGGCAACAACTGGCCGTTAACGTTGTCAAAACATGTGTTCAAGACTCATCACATGATTGATTTTATTGTTTTCGTGAGTTGGTGGGGTCTGCCTAAGACTAAAACGGCGGTTGTCATACACCGAAACTGGACCCTCTCGTGCAAACATCGATTTCGTCACTGCTCCAACATGATCCAGCAAAGTTGCGATGAATCCGATGGCAGGTTTTCATGGACTGGCTACAGCGAACGGCCATGGGAAAGCAAGATACACTTCGTCTCAACCCAAGCGACCAAGAGAGACTGCGTTATCCAGATGCTGGTGTAGGTGGTTCCGGCGAAGGTTCGACCAGAAACAACGATGAGGGCACAGGGGAGGCAGCAGATGACGGGCCGGACGGAGTCAACGACGACGACACACCGTTGACTTGGGCAGAGGTACCGACTACATATCTCGTAATGCTCGCCTTACTTTGGTCGTATGATTTTCCCGCCAGAAGCCACGCGGTTGCTCGCACCACTATGACACAAGCTGTGCTGGCGACAGTTCACGTTTGGGTGCACACGTATCTAGTTAGGACAAAGCAGGGTGTCCTTTGAATTCCCCCGAATCAGACGACGGTAAAGCCAGAGGCTAAATGAGTGCTGGATTAGACGTCGTCTCGCAATTGCATCGTGGGCAAGGTTGAAGCGCAACACAAGCTCCCGACTGAGCCAGCGATGCGCCATGGCACGTTTCCCATACCTGCCCCTGTCTGACTGGCTGCTTCATGCAGGTGGACCAAGAACAGTTCGTCGCATTGAACAGCCGCGCAAGCCCGGTAGCTGTAGACTTGGGTAAGTGTTACTATCCGCGTAGCTTGTGGTTGATCGCTCACTTGGGACACCATGAGTTTCTGGCTCACGCGCTCAACTTGGGGCCTACCATTCCGTTGTTGAAGAGTGCAGACATGCGTCCATGTAGGCTTCACTCGAACTTGACTCGAACGAGAACACTAACGGGCAGAAACTCTGATGGTTTTGCTACCGCATGTTTTTTTTGCAGCGGCCAAAGCTGACGAGCCTGTGGCGGACCCGCTGGGACTTAAGCAAGTGGACCTTCGGGTGTATCAGAAGACTCTGGTTGAAGGCGGCACATCAGCGGTTGTGGTGAGTTGTGCACTCGGTCTTTCCTATTGGTCAGTACTGGCAGCTTGCGCAAGAACAAGATATCTTATCTCCTGCTATTTCCCTTGTGGTGTTGCCTCTGCATTCTTCAGGAAGTGGACGGAGCTGACCGAGAAGTGCCTGGCACATTACAAGCCAAGAAGCGTGCTCTTCTTGGCCAAAAAGATCGATTACGCTTGCTGAAGAAGATGCAGTCCGGGAAAGAGCGTGTGCAGCGCAAAATGGATCGCAAGCGAGGCGACAAAGGGGAACGGATGCGAGATGGCGAGATCGGATCCGTACCCGAAAGCAAGCCAGTTACGAGAGAAATAAGGTGCTCCCTGTCGGTTTCCTCTCTTTTTTTTTTTCATTTTGCTGTTTGCAATCTCCCGACTCATATTTCCATACCCCTGAACTATACCCGCCGGCTGTCTACGGATCAAACTACGCAGTCGCTCTGTTGTGCCTACTATGGAAGACTTCGACCCGGCTCTCTTCATGACTGTGGTCCATGCCACGGCATCGTTCAACGACATTCGAAACGGACTTGAGAGTCTCGACGGCGCCAAAGCGAACCAGGTTTGAGCTTTTCTCCATGCCTCGTTTTGTTGTAAAAACATTTACGTCTAACTGCATGGGTGCAAGGTTCATGTAATTTCGTTGTGGTCAGCGAACGTTTCTATTTGGCAGCTGTAATGTCCCTCGTGGTATCACTGAGCTTTGTCTCAGACTAGCCTCGGTGCCGATCTATCTTATGGTTCCAGGCAAGCGAGCTTCAGCATCTGGTGCGGGATCATTTCGACAGCTTCGTTCGCTGTGCAGACAGCATCGAGAAATACGCAAGCCATATCAACATGGAATTGTCCAAGAACAAGGAACAGGTGAACATCGCCAAAGCAAAGTAACCTTGTTTACTGCACACGATATATCACGTACCCTGGATGGTTGTAGGTGTACGAAAAAATATACTGAAAAGTGTAGCACACGTCTCACCACGAAAAAATTGGGGGACTGTCGCCATAATAAATACGGCGAAAACACACACAACACACTGCTGAAACAGCGCTCCAAGCGACTTCCACTCGTGTGGGAGACTTGGCGCCACGGCAGGCCGATGCCCGGATCAGAAACCGTGTCAAATTTGTGCTCAGGAATGGGGTTGCTCAATTTAGCATCAGCAACTGCCTGCGAATCTTATCTTGCAATAGAGAGAATGACGCATTGGCATTGTGGATGAGTCGAGAATGCTCGTCAACAGCATACGTGGAAGGCCTGGATATACTGCACTACCGTTGGATCGCGCAACTGTCTGTCACGTATGAATCGTGCGCACTGCGGGTTTGTTATAGCCATGCGAGTTGTTGCTTTGCACGCATCCAGTCTGCGCTTTCGACGTCTACATGCATGGTCGTGTGTTGCGAAAGCCGACAGGAGGAATTCCCCATTTCATCCCAAGATTCATTTTCTCGCTATTGCTGCTTGCTTGTTTTTTGTCGCACAGCCGAAGGAAAAAGCCCCATCCCGTCCAAAAACGCTTGCTCAACTAAGGATGCAACTCAAGGCTGAGCGAGAAGTGGAAGGTCAATCTCGCCCTGCGGGAGCAGTGGGCGAAACCTGGACGGGAGCGGGGCCCGCAAAGAGCCACCTCAAGGAGCTTACAAGACTCATGGAGGGCGCGCGAACAGAAGCTGGTAAAAACACTAGCCAGTTACTGCAGAAGCTCGACAACATCAAGCAGGCAAGCTAAACGTGGGCGAGTAACATACCCTTGAGCCTTTTTTTGTTTTTCCGTCTTCGTTGACTCCACCGGGGTGCACGGGATATGAGGCTGGGTGCACAGCTGCAAATTGTGAGATGAGGGGGGGGGGGGCATACTCTTATGTTTTGCATGCCTTAGCGGTTAGACCATTGACCACGCGT